TGAGCAACTCTTGTTACTCAGGACAATCCTCAAGGGAATTGGGTTGGAAAGTTTTAATCTCTGAGTGCCTGTTGAATGAATATGTGAACAAGTGGAACAGACAACTTCCCATAGGTTCAAAACCTTGTTTACTCTCTTTGGAAAAACTCACAGCTGACCTCACTGGTTTTCCAACATCAAGTATCATATCATTTGCACTTCTGATTATTGATACCCAAGCTGCCTGCTGGAAAGACACAAAACTCTGCTATAGTATCTGGCAGAAATTTGTTATAAGAAAGAAGTTCCACAAATTTCTTGGAGCTGCTGGCTTCCATAGAATCTGGATCCTTGAGTTCACAAAGGCCATGCTGCTTATTCAGACTGTCATCCTCTAGGAGTGCCCAGTGGTCTGCCTGTACAAATATCTGAATCTAGTGACTGAGGACTGCCTCTCCCCTCTGCCTTCATTTTCTAACAGCCACTGTGCTGACCACAAAAGCTTACCAGCTCACCTTAAGCCAAGACCTAACTGTCCAGGTACCCATGTGGTGCTGGACCTCATGAATAACTGAAGACCACTCAATTCTACCAACCAAGCCAGGCCCATCACACCATGACTGTCTGGTAGTAACTGATGAACTGTTTTTGAGCTGACCAGACACTAAAAATGGATACCCGGCCAGATGCTGAACACACACCCTGTTTACAGATAGAAATAGCTGTTAGCAATGGAGTCCAACAGGATAGAAATGTTCTGGTCACCTTGGGCAAAGTTATTTTGGTCAAAACTCTCCTGCTGCTGTTTGGAAACCTGCCACCTACAATGCCAAATCTATACTCAGAACAATCTGATCCTGAGGCCTGAGCCCTCTTCTGGGATCTAGTTGACTGAAACATCAACCCCAGCCAGAAAATTTCATCCAGTGCTCCCAAAAGTAGCCAGGCCTGCCCCCCACATATGTTCTGCAAGCTCAAGCCTCAGTACTGGCACCCATGTCCCCACGGCCAGCTCAGGTTTCAGCGTCTGTGTCCCTGGCTCTGAACTAAAGGAACACAGATGAAGTTAATGCTCATTTGCACTTACTCAGGCTGGCCTGGAGCATCCTTTACCCACACTGAGAGGGCAACAAAAGTTTACAGGGTCCTGCTGTAAAACATCATCCCTACATACAGCCTATCCTTGACAATTGGCAGCAACAATGGGCTTGCATTTGCAGCAGAGCTCACTCAAAAACTAGATTAAATAAAAGCTACATACATACAACATACAGGCCCCAAAGTTCTAAAAAAGTTAAAAAAAAATAGCTTGTAACCAGCTCCATAAAAACATAGCTGAAAGACCCGTTATACCTGTAGTCACCCTGCTCACACCATATTACCAGCTCTTAAACTCTCAGAAATCCAGCTTTAGATCCACCATGCCAGAGTCTTACTGCATTTCTGGGAAATTTACCTGCAACAGACAGCTCCTCTGAAGCTCACTGTGCAGAAACGACACACTCAATGCCCTGCTGTGGTCACTCCGGATGCTGTCCAGTCCATGCACAGCTGAAACCTGCGGGCTCTGTTCACAGGACGGCTCCATACTTCAGTGCATGACTCTCCTCGATCTTTGTTCTTTTTCAGGCATACCCCAGTCCTTCACCACTCCCCTGCTAGCTGTGGTTTTTGCCAGTGAAACTAAAATTATGGGGAAATATAACAGAAGATGCCCCCCAACTAGTACACTTCAGTTTCTTCGTTGCCCAGGTAATAGTTCCTTTTATCACTGTCTCCTAGAAATGGATGGACCCTGTGCCACACAGCTGGTCACTATGAAGCATATTGGAAGAACCAGTCAAGGACAGCCAAGTACTCTGCTTCTTACTTGTAAGCTCATAAAAACCTCCTTCCCTGAGCCTTTGATGCCTTAAACATTTTGAAGCATAGCTGATTCCTTATCAGTGTCCAGCCAGTGTTAAATAAATAAATCTGCCTCCAAATTCTGGGTGTCATTTTGTCATTTCCTCTTGGCTGTGCAACACCCTTAGTCTTGCCTCCTTACCATTCATCCTCCACACTGGAAGAGAGATTTGCTCTGATCGCGGTGTGGCCGTTAGACTCGCAAAGCCTGCTTATGCCGGTGCCTTTTGCCCTTCAGCCGAGGTTCTTTGAACCCTTCTCTCAGCATTCATTTTTGGTAGTGTTGCATCTTTTCAGCCCTCCAAATATATTATGCTGTCGCCTCTTGGTTTCATACACACTTTTCAAAGGCTCTGCCTCCCCCTCCCGCGCACTCACTATGGTGAATCCCTGCTCCTTTCCCAGTCTCAATTCAGAGCTCTACCTCTCAGATGCTTGGCCCCAAACTCTAGCAATGGTGCCTTCTCCACTGGCCATTGCCCTGTTGTTCCATCATAGCCCAAGTCACCTATATTGTAACACTCTGTCTTATACTCCAATTATTTTTATTTATTTATTTATTTTTAATGTATTTGGTGCAGGGTCTATGGGGTCTCACTCCACAGATTGGACTCATAGTGATTCTCCTGTTTTCAGCCTCCCAAGAGCTGGGATTAGAGGCACAGGCCACCACCATGCGCAGTCTCCATCACCATCTCAGCACTCCCCCTTGGGGGGGGTGTGCGCAGCACGGCACACCAGGGATCAAACCCCAGCCACTGTGCTCTGACTAAGTGGGTGCTTCAGTCCTCTGAGTTATTTGGCCGGCCCTTGTACTCCAATTAGATTGTCTGTTCCACAAGAACAGGAGCACATCTCTCATGGCCATGGTAACTGCAAGTGCCCAGTACCATGTTTGATGAGGCGCTCAGCTCAGTAAATAGCTGTTAAGTGAACACATGAAAAGTAAATTGTGAGTCAGCCTTCTCCACAGCACAGGTAGAAAGGCCCTGATCTCACTGGCGCTTTCTTCCTCTCTAGTCAAGCAAGAACAACCATTACTTTTCTATAAAGCAGACCAAAACTTTGTTGCAAACAAAGCAGCCTATGTATCTCACAGGAAAAGAAACTTTCTAAAGATTCTGAAAATTAGCATAAGGTAATTGCCAAATCCCAGAGAATCTTTTAATTGAACCTTCCCAGTAGCTCACTTAGCGTGTACTCAGTGCTTAAATTGAGTAGAACCTCATTAGGGAGGTGGTGTCATGCCTTAGTGACAATGAAGAGCATGAGAAAGGCAGTTTCTCATGACATGGGGGCCGGGGAGAGAGGACCGTGCTGGTTTGTGGTCTCTCTGCACTCACTCATGATGTCGGAGAGGATCCGGAGGATGGCCATGACCCTCAAAGAGGGGAGATTTCCTTGCAAGGTTTATAATCTACTTCATGCTTCATTTTTTTCCTTCCCTGCTTGGCTCACAAGTACCCAGTTTTTATAGAGTATCTTCCTCAGGAAGCTATGTGTTGCCAGGCTCAGCCCCCCGGGTCTCTGTGGCTCTGTCTGCCGTGCCTCACTCCTTCACTGTGTTCTCCTCATTCCCTCACTGTGTTCTCAGTACACAGAGCCCTTCTCCTCCTTGGGCCTCAGTGACCAGGAGGAGGGAAATGCAGTGTCCACACCCAGCTTCAGCCTACGGTTTCTTTTGGCCTGGAAAGTGGCTTCTCCTCTACCCTCCTTGCCTGTCAGATCCTAATCTTCCACACCTGGCTCAGAGGCTGCCTCCTCTTTGAAGCTCGCAATGATGTGGCCCAAGCCAAAGCTCATGGTCATCTTGCCTGCTCCAGTGGGCCTTACCTGTACCTCTCTCAAGGCATTATATATTGTTTTAGTTTGTAGGTGTGTTGTCTTCAGAAATCCATGGAATGGGAGGTAAGAGATAGAGAGAAGAGGGAAGCACAGCAGCACTGAACAAGGCAGGAATCAAGGGGCACAGGCCTGGGCTCTGCGACCTGTCGGGTTTAATATTTTGCTCCGCTGTTCATTAGACATGGAATTTTGGAAAAGTTATATCATTTGTCTGTGCCCCTGTTTCTTTTTTTGGAAAATAGGATAAAAATGGTTCTCTAACACCTAACTGTTGTGAAGTTTCCTTAAGCTAAAACATGAAGTGCTTAGCACAAACTTGCCACATAGTAAACAGTAAGTGTCTGGCTCCAGGATACAAAGGGTCTGGTGAAGTTACCCCTTGGAAAGTGCAGGTGTGTGCGCTAAGGAAAACATTCATAACTGGAAGCGCACAAAGAGTTAACTGCAAACTGTCAATGCTGGAAGACAGAGCCAATGGCCTAACACTCCCCCAGAACTCAGGTGGCAAATTTTTTGAAAAGATGGATGTTATCTCTATAATGCAAGTGAAAAATAGCTTGAGGAAGAAGACAGTAAGTAAGGTTGCTGCAAAGCAGGCAGAAGGGATGGCCAAATGAGCTTCCGGTATTAAGCCAGTAACTACTTTGATGTGTGTTAGTATCTGATGATGTTAAGGGCGATGGAAATGAAGTGCTAAGGCAAACCGTGTTTCTGCTGCCATCTACAGATGTCAAAGTGCAATTTTTAGAATTTCTTAATGCATCCCCCCCTCAGAAAAGGGCATAGCTGACAAAAATATAAAAAGTTGAAGTTCTAGTAAGCAAAACAATTTAGGCATATTATTATAGTGATTTATTTTACTTTTCTTTCTATGATATGTATGTTTCATAAGCAGTATAGCATTTTTTATTGTCTCAAATTGTGTTAAAACTTCTCAGAAGAAAATTGTTATATCTCAGGGGTAGGCTGGTCATTTCTTAGGCTAGATTAGCTGCATCTGTGGCAGCCAACAGAGTTTAATAGTTAATAAAACAGTTTCAAGGAGGAATGAAATGAACTGGATTTAACCCCATGTGCTTTCCTGTTTCCCTGGTTATTAGAATTACTGTGAATTGTGCACCCTTGTCTTTTACTACTTGCTGTGAGAAATCACCCAGAACCAAATAAAATGCTACGAGTTTGGCCTGCCCTTTGAGGTAGCTTTTGCGCCTGTCTTCTCTCCTGGCTGTTGTTATGATGCTCCCCAACTTTCCTGTGTGTTGTTCTTGAAGGGTTGAGTATAGACAAGCATTACTGGAAAAGCGTTTGATGGAGCAAAAAGAAATGGCCCTTCAGGAAGCCCACGAGGATGAAGAGAGAGAGAAGAGACTTGAAGCCCTTCGGAAGCAGGTGCTTTTAATTTGGAACTTTTCAAGGGCGACTTTTTTTAAAGTTTCTAAGTGCTCTTAATATTATTATTACTAGGGCTTGGCTTGTGACATCTGCTATATAAAATTTTACTTTTCTAAATTAGGACACCGATCTTTGGAGCAATTAGATTTACACCAAACTATTTCTACTTTCTCAGTATATTAAAAAATTTTATCAGCAACTTTTAAAAGCTTTCTCAAGATTGAAATGCATCCATATCACCTCTTGTTTATTAGCTGAAGACTATCCATTTACCACAGTGAAACCCTAGGCAAGGGCTTTTATTGTCCTTAAAAAATGTGGAAGAGCAAGATAATCCTCTTTGGGTTAGGGGTGTCTGCTTGGAAATATGCCACCTTCAATAGACAAGTTTAAAGCCACTTTTTAAAAAGTATCCTTTTGTGCAGAAATGAAAGCTTTTCCTTACCTTGCCTTAAAAAAACCAAGTAAAAGTAGAGGAATGTTTACAGTAGAGGGCAAAAGCAGGAATTCAAGAACTTGGGAAATGTGATAAATAATTTTACTTGCTAGTTTTGCAGAATTGCAAAGTGTTCAGTGCAACTTGCAAGTTTTAAAATCTTCATTGACACCATTTTCCGGCTTGTAGGAAAGGACACCTGGTTTCCCCCATGTGTCAATGAGGAGACACTATGTCATGGCTAAGAATTCAGCCTCTGGTGTCCCCACACCTGGACTAACCTAGGTTAGGAGCCATCTGCAGCTCCATTTTCTCATCTGAAAAGTGGAAGAATGATATTGCCTGAAAAAGAATCAAGTTCTGTCATGCAGAGTTACAAATTCCCTATGATGAATGTGATCATTATCTATACCTAAAATGTACCAAGAAGCATAATTAATTTTTTTT